TACAAGTGTAGATTTTTTATTAATATTTTATCTACTATATTTTACCAGACACCTTTCATTCTTGGGGGAGGAGGGGAGATTTATTATGATGAAAATTAGGGTAAAATGTACAGATGTCATTATAAATCGGAATCTTTCACAAATATTTTCCTGTGTGGGCTTTAAGAAGATTGCTTCTCATTTGAAAATCTAATTATCTTAACCTAATACTGCAGATGTGAATATGACTGACACTTTCATTAAAAGATAATTAACTAAAACTAGGAATAGACATACTTTAAAATACCCCCTACTGAAGATAAAAACATGACTATTCAAAGAGCATCCGAATACACCGCAGGAACACGTGCGGATTTTTGATAATGCTATTCCAGAAATGAGTATACCAGAAATGGTCACTATGTCACAGTTACATGCAAGGGATATTTACAGTACCAAGGACCCTGTGCAGGTGAACCATAACCTTAGAGCTGACATGCCTTTGAAGTTCGTGATTCCTGGGATCCACGTCAAAACCTTGTCTTAGGCCTTAAGCACCAAATACCAGCAGAAAGGTTTTATCACAACCTTCCATTAAAAGCACGCACACACAACAATAACAAACCAACAAAACCCTACATGACAGAAAAATGCAGCTCTCTGGGCCCTAAACCTTCCATTCCAGAAGAATGTTTTGCAAATACTGGAACTAACACTAATAGGAAAATCCCCACCTGATGATGAATTAAGGCTGCCCTTAAGGAAGCACAGGCCAGCGTCAGGGAACTGAGTTGCTAAAAGCAGATGTTTAAGGTCAGAATGAAGGTCCTGATAGTTTTAGAGGGGAAAAAAAAAGTCTTGAGAAGGAGGAGGAAAAAAAAGACAAATAAAAAATCGCCAGCCTGGAAGTACAGCTATTCCAAAATCAGAGACTGCCAATAAAGCGGGGAACACAGAAGAAGCCCTAGCAGAAAAACCTTACTTCAAACTTCAGGAAAATCTCCAAGACTCGAACTTAAGGAAAAGCCAGGGGCACTTGAGGGCTCTTGAGAGGAACTTCATTCCTTCGCAAACCTCACCTAAGCATTGCACCAGCTCATCAATGAAAAAAAAAGTGTAAGGGCATATATGCAGATTTCTACAAGCACTGCTCTCTGAGAATGAAGGGAGTAAGGAAACTAGCGATATTCTGCATCGTTGTTTACAGGGTGGAAAAAAATGCAAACAAAGAGTGAAAATGAAATCTCTGAAGCCCGTTTACAGTTATCAGATTGAGGCGGTATGATGGAAAGAGGGCTTTTAGGCTTAAATTGTAGACGAAACGGGACTCTGAGATAGAAGGATGCATTGTCCATTCAAGTGCATGCCTGAAGGATGGTAACACATTTCCTAAGACTGGAGACAATTAAATACAATGTGATGAAGAAACACCTGAGAACAATACATCTATTTCAAATTCAAGCGAAGAAACACGTATACTTAATGTCACAGAAGAATAAGGAAACGAAGATAATTTAGTTTTAAAGTCGTCCCCCCGCACCACCCCCACCACCTCCTTTATTCCTAGTGCTTTTTTCCTGGTGAAACATCAATATCATTAATGTCATTAATGTCAAAACACCAAACGTCAGAACAGTCAAGTCATTCTTTTTTGGCTGTAGATTTTTCCCTTTCTCTCTTCTTGGAGGGGGATATAGGTTTATGGTGTTCTTGAGTTACAGCTAAAGGAACAAAGCGGGGGGGAGGATACAGGCAGGAATTGCGAGAGGAGAGTCCACATTTTTCAGGGTTTCTTCTGCCACTGTTTACTATCCTTCCTAACGTTTTATATCTCCTTTCTCCTCTTCTTCTTTCTTTCTCTCTCTCCCTCTCTTTCTCTCTCCCTAAAAATAGTAGCTATCGGGAGGGGGGTGGGGATGGAAAAAAAAAAAAAAAAAAAAAAAAG